GGCCAGGAGCATCTGGCACATCTGGGCTGTTTCTGAGAAACTTGGATTTGTCTCGGGCTGCTTCCCTAGCGTGTAACAGCCCTGCCTTTGTCCTGGGCATTTGTTCTCCCTGGAATAGTGGCTGATGGGCAAAGTCTCGTGTTGGGCTCAGTGTCGCTGTTGCAAACCAAAGGCAAAAAGAAGTGACAGGGAGGTGTTTCCTCCTCACTATCAAAGTCCTTTATAAAAGGGGGAAAAATTAATAATTTGGACTGCATGCTTCTGTTTTTTCTTTTTTCTTTTTTTTTTTTTTTGCATCCAGGGGCACGGTTGTAACCAGCCATTGATGGAACGTGTAAGCACATTAATATTATAAAACCAGAGACAGTGAATCAGCTGCAAGCTTAGAGTGAGGAAGAGGAACTGTTTCAAACTTCACACTTTTCTTAAAGGCTCTTGTTCACAGGAGCAAAGCACTGGAGCAAAGGAAATTCCTGGGATGGTGGGGAAAATGCTGTCAGTTGTGGGAACAGGCAGCTCTCAATTCCCTGAACTCTAGTGGGGCTGCAGGGGAAGGAAAGGCCCAGACTTGCACACAATGTTACCCCACTTTGAAGCACTTAGGGGTTGTTTTGTGGTTGTGTTCTGAGTAAAGAACCCCTTAAAACTAAAGGCCTGTTCTGCAGGAGCACACACAGAGGTGCAGCAAAGAGGCATCTGCCCACGGCATGCGACTGATGTTTGCCAAGTGTTGATCCAGTGTCCAGCTCTGAACCTTGCACTGAAGGTAAAAGATAACAAAGTTTACCTTTTGTTTAAAAACTGATTTCACAGAGAGGTCGTGTCCTTTAGCTAATCCAACAGTGATAGAGGTCTGTAACATGAAAATGGAGTGTACCACAGCTTGGGGGAGAGCCCTGAGGCCCACACAGAAAGCTCCTGTGGCACAGACGTGTATCCACAGGCACGGCAGTACACAGGGAGCCTGGAAAAGTGACAGAGTGCAACGAGTCATTAGTCCAAATTAGCAGCCCCAGCAGCAGCCCCAGGTCTCTCCCAGCTGTTTCTGCCCATGGCAGCACAATTGGAGTTGTGGTTATAGCTTGTGCAGTTGCAGCAGTGGCAGCTTCAGCCAGCAAGGCCAGAGGGTGAAAGACTGGAAAGCAGAGGACAAAATGTCGTGTTGCTGTCTCTGCTGGGCCTTTGCTGGCACTGTGTGAGGCACGATCAGAGCTCCCTGGGCTGTGTCATGTGCATCACAGACACAGGGCTGAGCACACTCAGCACTCCAGGTCAGCCTCACCGTGCTCAGGTCATGGAATCATATCCTGGTGGAGCTGGACTCGGCCACTGGAAAATCCAGCTACTGCTGAGGTGGCTATTCCCTTCCTCTTAGGTCTCAGCCTCATAAATACAAGGTTTTTACTTTTCAGTTTCAGTGCCTTTTCCTCCCTTTGATAATTCCCCATCAGTAGTGTATGACAGTGCAACCACTTTCAGTTTCATGTATCTTATTTTATTTTTTCAAATGCATTTTCATTTTTTTAAGTGTTTTAATAATTTGCCACAATGTTTTTGGAAATAACCCAGAGGCCGGGTGAAACATCTGTCATTTCCAGCATGCTACATTAGCAAAGTAAAGAGTCAAATAATAAAATCAGAACAGAGTGTATTTGTAATGAATATATCCTAAGTTTATATTATAGTGTACTTTAAACTTGGAGACTAATCTGTCAAGTTAATGAAACATCCACAGCAAGTGGCAGGAAATGTTGGGTGAAAACAGCAGATGCATTTGGGCAAGAATAAATTAAGTTTGCATGAGGCCCTGAATCAAAAATGGGGAGAATAATCAATGGTAATCATCAGGAGGTTATTTATCTTTGGGATCCATGTCCTGAGGTGTTTGAAAAGACCCCTGGGCTGGATGCACAGGGGGAGCACGCAGGGTAGAGGAGTCTAAGGAGCAAGGATTTGTGGGTTTAAAGCTTTGTTGTAAAGAGAGCTGGCTAATCCTGCATTTCAGCATTACACTGCTTTGCACTCTGCAGGACACAGATGGGTTGGGTTGGTTTTTTCGTGGATTTGTGTTTGTTGTGTGTTTAGTTAGACATTTACACTGATCACAGCAAGGGGGGTGTCAGAAGGGGGAGTGCGTTTCTTTGGAGTCTGATCACGCTGCAGAGTGACGTGACCCCTCCTGCTGCCCCCCCCCCCCCCCCCCCCCCCCCCCCCCCCCCCCGCTGGGCCCCTGTCCGGAGGAGGGGGTCCCGGGAAGGGGGGGTCAGGGGGAGCCCGCCCCGGAGGGAGGGGCCCGGGGAGAGGGGAGGAGGAGAGGAGGGAGGGAATTGCCGCCCCCTCCCCTCCC